TGAATTTCCTGAACCTCTGGTCTGATCTGGGTGATTTTTGAATATGTTGTTCACCCAAATCAGGGCTACCAGGGGATATATAATTTAAAGTGGTACCCCTAGGTTTAGGGGTACATCCAGAAATGGGGGGAATTGGTGTTCTGGATAATGGGATTATGTAACTGGAACAGTTGATCATGTATGGATAATCTAGAGGGTTTAGGAATAATGCTGGAGTCTTTTATACATTTTAAGATTGATTTAATCTGATAGGATGAAAGGAAACTGTTGCTTGTTATGCCATAAGGTGAGGATATAATGGTGTATGCCAGTTAAGTATCATTTTATAGTATTGAAAGACAGTTTTAAGTGAAGGGGGCAAAAAAATGAAAGCGACTACTGACTCCGTGGAAAATTTATCGACACTATTAAAGGATCACTATAGGGTCAGGAACACAAACATTCATTCCTGACCCTATAGTGTTAAAACCACCATCTAGCCCCCCTGGGGCCCTCATGCCTCCATAAATAGAGTGAAAATCTTACTGTATTCAAGCCTGAAGCTGTAAATCTGCATGCTGTTAGACTCAGAAAAACACACAGTCTGCTGACATCATCAGAAGTGGTAGCCTTATCCAATCACAATGCTTCCCCACAGGATTGGCTTAGGCTGACAAGGAGGCAGATCAGGGGCAGAGCCAGCATGATTCAAACACAGCCCTGGCCAATCAGCATCTCCTCATAGAGATGAATTGAATCAATGAATCTCTATAAGGAAAGTTCAGTGTCTGCATGCAGAGGGAGGAGATACTGAATGTTTGGAAGCATTTTAGGCAGCCATGACCCAGGAAGGATCTCTAACAGCTATCTGAGGAGCGGCGAGTGAAGTTATCACTAGGCTGTAATGTAAACACTGCATTTTCTCTGTTTATAGCAAGAGACAGTGTTTATAGCAAAAACCCTGAAGGTAATGATTCTACTCACCAGAACAAATTCAATACACTGTAGTTGTTCTGGTGGCTATAGTGTCCCTTCAAACTCTAGCAAGAACCTGTTACAAATGTGGAAAGCTCTATCATATGATTTTAGTGTTGGCAGAAAGTGCCAGCTGTGAGAGGTGCCGACCATGAGCTAATAGATTTTCCCTGGATATATCCATGGCAGCACTACGTATGGGTATAGCTCCTCCCCTTCTCAATTGGACAGGAACACCTCCTAAATAAAAGAGACTCTCCCATATACCCCCTCAGTCTTTTTTTCCTGTCCACTTCTCAGGGACAGTGTAGTTTGCATCTCCTAAAAATTTTCTTTTGGGACTTATTTGGGTCTAATTGTACCCCTGGCCTATGGGGAGTTCAGCCTCTCTCCCCATGGAAGCCTCGGGACACGGCGCCTCACCAAGGGCGACCCCCTGGAGGATTCTCCCCTTAGCGACTGGGGAGCTATGCTGCAGTAACCCTATAGGTAGCAGCTGGATGTGCCAGACCCAGAGAGGTGGTAATTCCCACAGAAGGGTTCACCTACTTGCTGCAAAAAACTTGGGCTTCTTGGCTTTCCCAATAAAGATGGCCTGCCCTATCCTCATGATGTAAGTGGCAGAGAAATAAGAATTTACCTGACTGGGGGTGGGCTCCTGCTTCCTTGTAGCTGATCCATTCCGGTCGTGGAACGCATGGTGGAACGCACGCCGATATTTTCGGCACTTCCGGTTTCGGCCCTTCCGGTTTTTCGGCCTATCTTTTCCCTCTCTCCAGCAGTGGAACGCAGGTGGAACGCATGCCAGAGGAACGCCAGCA